GGAGCTTCTTTTTGGGCAAAAAAGCGCACAGCACGGCCCTTTCAAGCAAATCGGCTGGCCCTATGTGACACGCAAAATCGAGCAAAAATTGTGCTGTCAAATAGCGTAACGGGAATGCTTGTTCCCACGACATGATAATGTGGTAAAAATATTCACCTTTTTTAAATGCTTTAGAAAACACTCACAAATCAAATGCACTATATCCATTGCACAGAGAATGATTAATTCCTTAACATATACTATATTGTCAAAAGTATTCCAAATCATTGGATTCAGGTGTTCCAATCACCTCCATGGCCACCAGTGTATACAATCCAGCCCCTAGGCATGCAGACTGCTTCTACAAACATTTGAGAAAGAATGGGTCGCTCTCAGGAAATCAGTGACTCCAAGCGTGGTCCCGTGATAGGTGCCACCTGTGCAATAAGTCCATCCGTGACATTTCCTGGCTACTAAATATTCCACGCTCAACTGTTAGTGGGATTATAACAAAGTGGAAGCAACTGGGAACAACAGCAACTCAGCCACCAAGTGGTAGGCCACGTAAAATAACAGAGCGGGGTCAGCGCATGCTGAAGCGCACAGTGCGCAGAAGACGCCAACTGTCTGCAGAGTCAATAGCTAAAAACCTCCAAATTTTACGTGGCCTTCAGATTAGTACAACAGTGCGTAGAGAGCTTCATAGAATGGGTTTTCATGGCCGAGAAGCTGCATCCAAGCCTTCCATCACCAAGTGCAATGCAAAGCGTCGGATGCCGTGGTGTAAAGCACACCGCCACTGGACTCTAGAGCAGTGGAGACGTGTTCTTGGAGTGACCAATCACAATTCTCTGTCTGGCAATCAGATGGACGTGTCTGGGTTTGGCAGTTGCCAGGAGAACGGTACTTGCCTGACTGCAATGTGCCAAGTGTAAAGTTTGGTGAAGGGGGGATTATGGTGTGGGGTTGTTTTTCAGGAGTTTGGCTTGGCCCCCTAGTTCTAGTGAATGTAACTTTTAAGGCGTCAGCATACCAAGACATTTTGGACAATTTCATGCTCCCAACTTTGTGGGAACAGTTTGGGGATGGCCCCTTCCTGTTCCAACATGACTGCGCACCAGTGCATAAAGCAAGGTCCATAAAGACATGGATGACTGAGTTTGGGGTGGAGGAACTTGACTGTCCTGACCTCAACCTCATAGAACACCTTTGGGATAAAATAGCGCAGACACAGCCTGACCTCACAAATGTGTTTCTGTAAGAATGGTCAAATATTCCCATAGACACACTCCTAAAACTTCTGGACAGCCTTCACTGAAGAGTTGAAGCTGTTATAGCTGCAAAGGGTGGTCCAACTCAATAGTGAACTCTACTAATACTGGGATGACATTAAGGTTCATGTGCATGTAAAGGCAGGCATCCCAGTACTTTTGGCAATATAGTGTATGTATTGCCCCCTTAAGGAAAATCATCAGCATGAATTAAATGTAAGAATGCAGCTTACTTCCAGTTTCCGCCTTGCTCGATGACGTCACAGGTTTCGCCACATTATCGTGACTTCTCAAAGAGAGGCAGCCCTTAAAATTTTGTGATTTATGTTAATTGAAAATCTGTCTGATGTATTCTGTTTGATTTGTTCTTTTTGTATTAATTGTTTGGCTTTATATTTATTTGTTTTTATTTTTCGTGGTGTCCGAATGTTTTATGAACATGATTTGAAAAGATTATTACAAGAATAAACTTAAAGCACCTGATCGAGACTCTGCATATTGATCACTGGTACCAAGGGCTGCTACACAGCACTAAACTATAAATATAAAGCGCTAACTAAAAATAATGATCTTTTTTGTGTTCAGTGAGACTTTCAATTACTTCTGTCATGCTATTAATACTTTCTGAATTGCCTGGTAAATTATTCATTTTTGTTCACAAAACTTAAATCTTTGTTTCAGGTATTGTTTTCAGACTTACCAATTTTCTTGATTGTTGACCTTGATCTAACTCCATTTATATAAAATGTCATGTTCTGAACAATCTGTTATATTCTTAATTTTAATTTGAAATAATAATCATTATTAAAACAATTCTGTATTTTTAATCAGAACCAATTTACAAATCCTATAACATGATAACATTTTATGTAAAAGGAACGGATAAAGGGAACATATTACAGTAAAGTCTATGTCAGCAGAAAGGTGATATTTCTAAATGAATGACCGCTCAAGGCTGATCTCTGTCTGTATCACCTCCACTGCTGGCCCTGTTCGTACATCTGATAAAATCACCTTTATTTGGACATATTCAAAATAGATACTGCACAATGTACAAAAGAGGGAACATAGCACTCCAGCTAACACATTTCATGCCACCATTAGCGCTTAACCATACCTATGATTAAGCGCTGATGGCAGTGTGAAACGCGTTAGCTGGAGTGCTATGTTCAAATAAAGGTGATTTTATCGGATGTGCATCCAACTGGATTTTTTCTTCTCTACTAAGGTGATATTTCTACCTAACAGAGGTAGTGAAGTAAAAACAATAGCTGGATAGTAAAAGCTTTTATACTAGTCTGTTACCATAACATACAACCGATTCAGTTCTCTGTTTGTGGTATTTATGGCAGGGGGTCCTATGGGTGATATTTAAAAGTTGCAGAACTGGCTGTTGCAAGCTTCTTCAATTACTGAAGGATCAGTCAATTTATTCCAAGATCTTTTTTCCTGGGTATCACTGTGTAAACATCCTGAATAGGCATATCTTTCACTCTGGGTTTTTTATATTAAAGGCAGATATGATTTCATGCCTGAACCACAATAAATTAAAGGTCTGTTCTGCTCCAAGCAGATGTTTTAGGCTTGAGAGGGCATCAGCTTCCTGAATCATCCAACAAGCTATTGTGAAGAACTCTCGCTACTGGAGTATCCGTGTAATTAAATGAGTTTCTCACAATCACCTTTTTTCAGAACTCTCTTACAAAGCTTTAAAGGTTGAAGCCCCTCATCCCAGGTAGCTCAGGCTTATACTTACCCTCAGTCCTCATCCAACAGTCTTACCCCCGACGTGGACTCAACTGGTTCCACTTCATTCTGCACATGTGTGCTATGGACCCATTCATTTTTGTGGGCACCCATACTCATGATGGCCTCCATGGATTGCATGGCGTAAGACACTACCTTGAGGAATTTGCTGGATGTCAAACCCTACCACTTCCCTTCCATGTATATGCAAGGTATCACCAAAGCTGATACTAGCCTGTTGTACTTCTGCATCAAGCAAGTGATTACAGATATGTCTAGAATAGTGCTCTTAAAAATCTATCTATCTATCTATCTTTCTATATCTATCTATCTTTCTATATCTATCTATCTATATCTATCTATCTATCTATCTATCTATCTTCTATCTCTCTATCTTTCTATATCTATATCTATCTATCTATCTATCTATCTATCTATCTATCTATCTATCTATCTTCTATATCTATCTATCTATCTATCTATCTATCTATCTATCTATCTATCTATCTATCTATCTATATCTATATCTATCTATCTATCTATCTATCTATCTATCTATCTATCTATCTTCTTTCTATATCTATCTATCTATCTATCTATCTATCTATCTATCTATCTATCTATCTATCTATCTATCTATTCATTCAGTCATATCCGACCCTTGGCGATTGCATGGACCGTCACTCTTAAGCGACTTTTTCCATGAATTCTCTTAGCAATTATTTTACAGGGTAGGTTGTCAGGTCTTTCCCCAACCCCTACCATGCAGGAGATCCCACATGGCCAGGGGGGAAACTAGGACAACTTGGCGGCACAGTGGCTTAGTGGTTAGCATGTCTGCTGTGCAGTAAATGGGTCATGGGTTCAATTCCCAACCATGGTGCCTCCTACATGGAGTTTGCATGTTCTCCCTGTGCTTGCATGGGTTTCCTCCCACACTCCAAAGACATACTGGTAGGTAAATTGGCTCTTAAAAATACAATGTTTTTTAACTTTCAATAGAGTGGAGAAGGATTATAGAACACCTGTCAGGTTTTTATTGCAGTCCGTGCCTCTGTTAGGGAGATTCACCCTCTTTATTTGTCCTGTTTACTGGTATCACTAAGAGTTAAAGAAAATCTCAAATTTTGGGTGTCACCAGCACATGAATAGAGAGGAAATCTTCCAATGGGAAACTAGTTTTTGGTGACAATCACGGATTCTCTTACTTTAGATGGATTTCACCCTCACTTCCTATTTTGACTATGGGACAGGAAGTGAAGGTAAATTTCCCCAATGGGATACAGATGGTAAAATAAACATGACATGGATTTTTCCCTACCTCACTCAATCCAAAATGAAAAAAAAATTTTTTCCCTTAGTTCTACTTTATTATATCAGCTAAGTACCGGACTCTTCTGAACTAACTGGTGCTCAAATGGTGGTGCAGTTATTTGTTATGATAGGTTGAATTACTGGCCCTGTTGGCTTATAGTTAAAAAATGAAACCTGCCTCCTTAACTACTTGCCGACCGCAGATAGCCGAATGATGGCTACACTGCGGCCGGCCAGTTCTGTGTGGGCGTCATATGACGTCCTCCCAGAACGCACTCACCTGCGCGCCCCCGGGGGCGAGCACCCGTCGATCCCCATGATCGCTGTGGCCTACGGACACAGCTGATCACATGATGTGGTAAAAAGCAAATCACAGCAGCCTTTTACCACGTGATCAGCCATGTCCAATGACACACTGATCACCGGGAAATGCAATTGCCGATTCTCGGCTGCACTTTCCTCACGCTGTCAGATCGTGAGGAAAGTACTGCCGAGAACCGGCAGTTGTTAGAGCAGGAATCGGCACCGATCATCAATGTCTGCCAGGGGGGGCGCGAGGCTCCGTCAAGGGGGCGCGTACAGGGGTGGGCAGAGGGCTGCTGTCTCTTACCTGGCTCCCACGATGATCCATCCAGGAAGCGCTGCTCCTTCCCTCACTCCTGCCACTCAGCTCTGCCTCCTCACCGGTTATTGGCCGCCAGAACTGTAGCTCAGGAAAGGTACACAGGCGGCCAATCACGGGTGAGGAGGCGGAGCCGAGCGGACCCGCGAAAATCGAGTGAGGGAAAAGCCGGTAAGTGTGCAGTGCAGAGGTGCTGCTGCAACCACATATGCTGGCTGCAGCAGCACCATACTGCAACAGGGGTCAGCAAGTGTCATTGGTGTCAGTGGGAGGAATAGTGCCCTATCATTAGTATCAGTGGGAGGAATAGTGCCGCATCATTGGTGTCACTGATACTAATGATGGGGCATTATTCCTCCCACTGACACCAACGATGGGGCACTATTCCTCCCAGTGATACCAATGATGGGGCACTATTCCTCCCACTGATACCAATGATGGGGCACTATTCCTCTCACTGATATCAATGATGGGGCACTATTCCTCCCACTGACACCAATGATGGGGCACTATTCCTCCCACTGACACCAATGATGGGGCACTATTCCTCCCACTGATACAAATGATGGGGCACTATTCCTCCCACTGACACCAATGATGGGGCACTATTCCTCCCACTGATACCAATGATGGGGCACTATTCCTCCCACTGACACCAATGATGGGGCACTATTCCTCCCACTGATACCAATGATGGGGCACTATTCCTCCCACTGATATAAATGATGGGGCAGTATTCCTCCCACTGATACTAATGATGGGACACTATTCCTCCCACTGATACCAATGATGGGGTGCTATTCCTCCCACTGATACCAATGATGGGGCACTATTCCTCCCACTGATATCAATGATGGGGCACTATTCCTCCCACTGATACCAATGATGAGGCACTATTCCTCCCACTGATACCAATGATGGGGCACTATTCCTCCCACTGATACCAATGATGGGGCACTATTCCTCCCACTGACACCAATGATGGGGCACTATTCCTCCCACTGATACTAATGATGGGGCACTATTCCTCCCACTGATACTAATGATGGGGCACTATTCCTCCCACTTTATTTTTTACATTGACTAGTAGGTGCCTCATTTCCCACCCTCGGCTTATACTCGAGTCAATAGTTTTTCCCAGTTTTTTGTGGTAAAATTAGGTACCTCGGCTTATATTCGGGTCGGCTTATACTCGAGTATATATGGTAAAACAAATTTTTTTTTGGTGTGCACATCTCTAGTGGCAGGTTTAAAAGTACAAGTTCTGCCCATAAAATCAATTATTATTTTTTTTTTTTTTTTTCCATCTAAGCATGGGACAATTTTTCTTTTCACTTAATAAGTACTTAAAGTGGTTCTAAAGGCTCAAGGTTTTTTTTACCTTCATGTATTTTATGCAAGAAGGTAAAAAGACGTCTGTGTTCAGCAGTCCCCCCAACCCCCCCCCCCCCAATCCTTACCTGAGCCCCCTTCGATCCAGTGATGTTCACGATAGCCTCGGCTGTATAGGAACTCGCCTTCACATTGGCTGAGACAGAAGCGGGAGCCCATTGGCTAGTGGGCCAATGAGAAGAGAGTGGGGGCAGGGCAGTGCCCCAGCCCTATGTGTCTTACGGACGCATAGAACAGCAACTCGGGAGAGAGCATGCAGTGGTGCCCCAGGGTAAGTGGCTTTCTCTGGGGGCACTGCTCAAAGACAAGGAGCCAGGAGCACAGCGGGAGATCCAAAAAAAGAGGGTCAGGGTAGCTGTGTGCAAAACTACTGCACTGAGCAGGTAAGTATAACATGTTTGGCATTTTTTTGTTGTTTTGTCCTACCCAACCCCCCCCCCCCAAATCCTTACCTGCGCCCCCTTCGATCCAGTGATGTTCACGATAGCCTCGGCTGTATAGGAACTCTCCTTCACATTGGCTGAGACAGAAGCGGGAGCCCATTGGCTAGTGGGCCAATGAGAAGAGAGTGGGGGCGGGGCAGTGCCCCAGCCCTATGTGTCTTACGGACACATAGAACAGCAGCTCGGGAGAGAGCATACAGTGGTGCCCCAGGGCAAGTGGCTTTCTCTGGGGGCACTGCTCAAAGGCGAGGAGCCAGGAACACAGCGGGAGATCCAAAAAGAAGAGGGTCAGGGTAGCTGTGTGAAAAACTACTGCACTGAGCAGGTAGTATAACATGTTTGGCATTTTATTTTTTAAAAAATATAGCTTTAGTATCATGTTAAATTGTAATAAGTGACATTGGGTGGTACAAGGCAAAGTATTGAAGACTTTGTGGGTTTCCTTTGCTATAAGACTTGGTTTTCAGTCCGCCTGTATATTCAAAACAAATATTTAAATACATAAGAAAGAAAAACAACATCACAGTTCATTTCTTTTGTTTATTATAGAAGAGTGAAATTATTTTTTTTTAGAAATGTTCTGTATCACTGCATAAATATTGAATAATAACTTACTACACTACCAAACAGAAATTGTTCAGGTTATATACGTATTGTATTCTGTAAAATATACAGCAACATAGGTTAATTCTATAAGTCCCCAGACAGTCAATAAGTTAACAATCTATGTGAACAATATGGAAACATTTGATATTATCTCAATACATTGCCGGCCCCTGGGGAAAATTCTGATTGTGACCACAAAGAAGTATTTTCTTTCTGTTAGCTAATCTCAGTTAATGATCATAATTGTTCCAATGTTAACTACTTTCAAGAGAAATAAAGAGAATCATTAGAAATCCTTTTGTGCATGGGTTCAAGCGTATTTCTTCATATTGTGTATAGTTGAATATGTTTTGTCCTACCTTAATCTCATGTGTCCTCATTATCAGATTGTCACACACATCTTATTTTTAATCTAAGATATACGTGCCTAAGTTGTCTGAACACAGCTATTCAGGTGGGAAACTACACTGCTCAAAAAAAATTAAAGCAACACTTTTTAATCAAAGTATAGCATCAAGTCAATTAAACTCCTGGAATATTTATCTGGTCAGTTAAGTAGCAGAGGGGGTTGTCAATCAGTTTCAGCTGCTTTGGTGTTAATGAAATTAAGAGGTGCACTAGATGGGCAACAATGAGATGACCCCCAAAACAGGGGTCAGTGTCACTACTGGTGGCATGAGGAGAAACCTTGACCCTACAGAGGTTGCACAGGCAGTCCAACTCCTCCAAGATAGCACATCAATATGTGCCATTGCCAGAAGGTTTGCTGTGTCTCCTAGCACAGTGTCAAGAGTATGGAGGAGATTCTAGGAGAGAGGCAGTTACTCTAAGAGAGCTGGACAGGGCCGTGGAAGGTTCTTAACCCATCAGCAGGACCAGTATCTGCTCCTTTGTGCAAGGAAAAACAGGATGAGCACTGCCAGAGCCCTTCAAAATGACCTCCAGTAGGCCACTGGTGTGAATATCTCTGACCAAACAATCAAAAACAGACTTCATGGGGGTGGCCTGAGGGCCCAATGTCCTCTAGTGGGCCCTGTGCTCACTGCCCAACATCATAGAGCTCGATTGGCATTTGCCATTTAACACCAGAATTGGCAGGTCCTCCACTGGAACCCTGAGTTGTTCACAGATGAGATCAGGTTCACCCTGAGCACATGTGACAGACGTGAAAGGGTCTGGAGAAGCCGTGGAGAACATTATGTTGCCTGTAACATCGTTCAGCATGACCGTTGTGGTGGTGGGTCAGTGATGGTCTGGGGAGACATATCCATGGAGGGATACACAGACCTCTACAGGCTAGACAATGGCATCCTGCCTGCCATTAGGTATTGGGATGAAATCACTGGACCCATTGTCAGACCTTACACTGGTGCAGTGGGTCCTGGGTTCCTCCTGGTGCACGACAATGCCCGGCCTCATGTGGGGAGAGTATGCAGGCAGTTCCTGGAGGATGAAGATATTGATACCACTGAATGGCCCCCACGCTCGCCTGACTTAAATCCAATAGAACACCTCTGGGATATCATGTTTCAGTTCATCTGACACCACCATGTTGTACCTCAGACTGTCCAGGAGCTCAGTGATGCCCTGGTCCAGATCTGGGAGGAAATCCCCCAGGGCACCATCCATTGTCTCATTAGGAGCATGCCTCAACATTGTCAGGCATGCATACAAGCACGTGGGGGCCATACAAACTACTGAGGACCATTCTGAGCTGCTGCAATGACATTTCAGCAAAATAGACTAGCCTGCTGCATAATTTTTTCACTTTGATTTTTGGGGTGTCTTTGAATTCAGTCCTCTGTAGGTTGATAATTTTCATTTCCATCAAACGATGGGGCGTCCTTAAGTTCCAAACACATTACCCCGTCCATATCAGGATAGATATCCAGAAGGAGATTTTTCCACATTGAGATCTGATGTGTTTTCAAAGTGTTCCTTTCATTTTTTTGAGCAGTGTGTAACTATTATTTTTATTGTATTATTATTATTATTATATCGAGTTTATATAACGCCAAAGGGTTTGCTCAGCGCTGTACAATAGAGGGGGGGACAATACATAAAACATTACAGTAACAACAAACAGCACACGAGGGGTTAGAGGGCCCTACTCTTTCGAGCTTACAATCTAGGAGGGGGAGGGGGTAGTGGTACAGGAGGAAATGGCTGTGGGGGATGGAGTGGTAGGAGGAGGGAAGGGCAGCGGCTGTTAGGTGAGGGTGGGGTAGGCTTCCCTGAAGAGGTGGGTTTTCAGGGAGCGCCTGAAGGTGAGGAGGGAAGGTGACAATCTGATGGATTGGGGTAGTGAGTTCCAGAGGATGGGGGAGGACCTGGAGAAGTCTTGCAGTCGTGCGTGGGAGAAGGAGACCAGGGAGCAAGATAGAAGGAGGTCCTGTGAAGAGCGAAGGGTACGGGTAGGGTGGTACCTGGGAATCAGGTCGGTGAGGTAGTCAGGGGCAGTGTTGTGAATGGCTTTATAGGTCAGAGTGAGCAGTTTGAATTTAATGCGTTGGGCAATGGGGAGCCAGTGGAGGGAGAGGCAGAGGGGGTGGCAGAGGTGGAGCGGCTGGTGAGGTGGATGAGTCTGGCCGCTGAGTTCAGGATGATCTGAAGCAGGGAGAGTTTGCACTGGAGTAGGCCGGTGAGGAAGGAGTTGCAGTAGTCAAGGCGTGAGATAATCAGGGAGTGTACGAGTAGTTTAGTGGTGTCTGGGGTAAGAAAGGAGCGTATCTTGGCGATGTTGCGGAGGTGGAGCCTGCATGTGTTTGTAAGTGATTTGACATGAGGTTGGAAGGAAAGGTTTGAGTCCAGAATGACGCCAAGGACTTTGGCTTGCGGGGTGGGATTGATGGTGGTGTTGTTGGTAGTGATGGAAAGGATGGGGGGGGGGGGCGCGGGGAGGGGGAAAGACGAGAAGCTCGGTTCTGGAGAGGTTGAGCTTGAGGAAATGGAGCGACATCCAGTCAGAGATGTCGTTTAGGAGGTGAGTGATGCGGGCGGAGAATGTGGGGGTGAGGTGAGGGGTGGATAGGTAGATTTGAGTATCATCAGCGTAGAGGTGGTAATTGAAGCCGTGGGAGTGTATGAGTTT